TTCCCTAGAGTATTATTTCTTTGTTTAACTACGACAATAAAATAGTCTATATTCTCATTCAGTAAATGTCACTGTGTTTTATGACCATCTCAATGCACAGGCTTAGCCTCATTTAAGAGCAAATCATTTACAAAATTCAACTTTAACGTAAAGAATGTGAAGCTTGAACAACACCAATGTTTTGAAATCTCATATTCTCTCTGTGAATAGCTGACTTATAAACAGGGCTAAGCCTGTGTGAATGAGTCTGTGCTCTTTAAAAACGATGGTATGGATTGCTGCAAAACTGGCATATTACCTTGTCTCTAATAAATGATTGTAAAAATGCTGGCTTTCCTTTCCCCCTGTCTCTTGCTATCAGATCAAGTTGTGCAGATATCCATTTGTTTTTCTTCTCTGCTGCGATGTCCCCTGGTACTTCACCCTTTCAACACAATGATGTAAAATGATGGAATATGATTTGAAATAAGGCAGTACTGGCAATCATTATTTATCTTACTTTATCTCCAGGGGAAATGGGGGTTGGAGGGGGGGAGGGGGTGGGGGAGGTTATTTTTGCAAAGGAAAGAACACTGGAAAAACCAGAGAAAAATCCTTGTTGCACATGAGGTCCAAACGAGCAACTCTACTCACATATGACATCGGGATCGGCAGGACTCAAGCCCAGGCTGCATAGGTGAAAGGTGACACATTCGCTGTGCACCCCACTCGTGCTTCCCAATTATTATTATTATGATTATTATTATGAAGCAAAAATGTGATTCTCAGTTATTAAGGAAATAAAGAATATAATCATCATTAAGAGAGGAGATAAAAGCAGGGTTCGTGTTAGGTTCCCAAGAAATTATTCAAGCAGTTTTCAAGGAGTTTTCAAGGAGTATTCAAGGACCAAAATGACATTTTTCAAGGAGTAACTCTTAAGAGGGTTTTATTTTGGTATCCGTAAAAAAATAAGATGAAAATGCCAATACTAATCGAGATGTGCGAATTGTCATGTGATATCCACGCCACATTGAGCCACTAAGTTCTGGAAACTTAAAAAATAATAGAAAAAGACGATTCTCCTGAGATGTAGTGAAAATCTCTAATTTTAACCAATGACAACGACTCACAGTTTACATATTTTGAAAGTTTTACTGGCATTTTTTCATGGACAATTTTTTTTCAAGGAATATTCAAGGACATTTCTACTTTTTTTCTATTTTCAAGGAGTTTCAAGTGCCCTTGAAAATACATTTTAAATTCCAGCACTTTTTAAGGAGTTTAAGAACCCTGTAAAAGACAATAGAGGTTTTGCACCATCACGTGCAGGCACCATAATCCAGCTTGGGCTTCCTGTGGTTAGATGGCAAAACAATAAAATCCCTTTGCTCTTGGGAATGGATTTCTTTCTCATGTAAAACGATTGTATTGTTCCTGCCATCTAACATGGCTGCTGTTACATGTCGGTGCCCATAATCCAGCTTGGACTGCCTGTGGTCAGATGGCAGAACAATAAAATCCCTTCTGCTCTTGGGAATTGAATTCTTTCTAATGTAAAACGATTGTATTGTTCCTGCCATCTAACATGGCTGCCGTTCAAGGTGATTATAGAAAATCGTGGTTACTAATTTCTCCCCCTTCAATTAGCTTTTTTATTTACAGTGCGACTACATCAACCAAAGCCACCTAAACAAATTTCAAATCAAATTCCCAACTCACATTTTAACGCTGCATAACAGATGAATGAGTGAATTCTGGGTTTTAAACTGTTTCTTGTTCAATATTCAGATCATACACACACTCGTACAAAGTAAAATATATGAAGATATAGAAATATAGATAAGTTACAGTGCTTGGGAAAGAGGTTATTCCGGGCGAAGGCCCTTGGAGTTAAATACAGAAAAATTAATTTCCGACCTCGCTGGGAATTGAACCCACGACCTTCGGAATTGTACTACCGATGCTCTACCAGCTGAGCTAGAGGTCAGACTGAGAGCAGGACGGGGTGAAATAGATGTTAGGTAGTGGTAATTATGATGCAAAGATGAGAATATGTAGACCGCATAGCACTTATGAATTTCATAAATATATAAAATATGACTTTAAAGAGGAAAATGTGAAAATTTGTATAGACTCTATTGTTTAAATACTTAATCGTGATTGGCTAATTTGTATGAAAATTTGTCTGTGTGGCCTTGGTTGGTGTAGTCGCACGGTAATATACCTTGGCATTGACAGCGTCTAGAGAGGCACCAGCCTTGGCCAGTGGATGGAGAACATTGTGATTGTTTGACATGATGCTCCAATGGAGAGCTAAGTATTTAAAACATAAACCAACATTATGTGGGAATAATGCATGTCAATGTCGTGATTATCAACAGACTTAGAAGTGAGCCTTGCCCTGACTTAGATCAGCCCAGAGGTTGTTTCAGGGTTCAATCTGTGAGTTAGCCATGCCCTGACTTAGATCAGCCCAGAGGTTGTTTCAGGGTT